TTAACGCTTCATTTGTTGTATACAGGACGATTTCAATTTTGAAATTGAACCAAGTCCTCCATTACTCACTTGAAATTGTACACAATTGATTGGTTGCAAAACTGTATCACTCAGTTCACATATTCTCTTGTGACCAGCAATCGACTACATCTGGTGTCTTAAGTATGACATTGGAACACCCTCTCTCTATGTGATCATGGAGATAATTATTCGTTCCCACCAATTCCACAGTGGTGAGAATTGACTACACGTCTATCAAAAGCCTCATTTGGCTGTTCACTTTCAGGTTCCGGACGACTTCGACGACAAACTGGCATGCACCACTCAAGCTGAATTTCACTAATTCCCTTCGGGATGGATTCCAGTTTAGGGAAGAGAAGAAGATTCGTGTATCAAAAGTTAGGGGTTGTGTACCTTGAGTGTGAGTTTCTTAGGATGGAGGGGGGGGAGGAAGATGTAGGATGATCGAACCATGCGGTTATTGTTTCGCTATCTGGCTTTGTAGTGAGGTTCTCTTTTCAGGGTTTTTTGGGGAACATTGTTTTTTCGATAAAATTTCTATTTTTGTTGTCCAATTCAAGTTGTTGGTCTGCTCAGTTAGAAATATTTCTATCATCAACTGAATTGTGACAAAAAGGTAGAACTATACAACATGGAACTGACCTGAACGACACATCATGAACTTTGTACAAATGGAAATAAAGCAATAAAATAATAACATTATTCACCAATAGAATATGAGTGGTTTTTTATGTCGGTGTGTTCACTAGTGAGCAATATTCTATTTAAATGAATACTTTAGTGTAAATTTGCTTTCCAAATATAAATAAAGTGTAAATATACCTAGGGAGGATAAAAAAATATTCACGGTATTCTGGGTTACCCTGCATAAATATATTCCAATAGTTCGAATACCATTGACTTCGTACGTGATACCTCAGTTACCCAGTATTTTTTCAGTTAGTCATTTTTTAAAGCTGAATGCTCTAGAAATGTACCGGTATCTCAAACCGTTACCATTAAGCTCAAAATACCATGCATGCCCTAAATTTATGAATACTTAAATTGTTCAGGTGAATAAAACCAAACAATCATTATGTCCGTCAGATCTTAGTCCCACTTTCAGTTTGACTCCCACCGTTATCCACGAATCAGCCTTTGATCCAAAAGCGGGCTTCGTCTCGAAGAAGAAATAGAATACCACCATGGAGACGGTACTTCTAGTTGGTGGTAATGAATGGCAATCACCCGAAATGCAATCACACCTTTGCGATTTCAACGAGATGGTGACGGTGAGGCCAAACGTGAAACGTTACACAACCGGGTTCAGTGCGGCTCTACACTTGCGACACAATAGATAGATGGCAATAAATGACGGAAATGCGTAACTGTATTCAGTGGGGTTGAAAGAAGCACTTTAGAAAAGAAAACCAATTCGAACTTCGGTAGCTACATAAGCGACGTTGCAGAAGAAACACAAAGGAATAACGTACAAAACAATCCCCAAGGTAATACAGATACAGAAGCGAAAAGTGAGTTTTCCTATGCCCAGCTTATTACCTTAATGAGAAGAATAAGACTTACCTTAGTGTCCTTGTGCAACAAAGTCACCCTAAATACTTGACCATCGGGAAATGTGAATTCAGCGAATGATACATTGTTCTTGTCTCAGG